CCGACTAAATTATCGATACTACTAAGGGGCATACAGTTTTTAAAAAAATAACAAGTTATGACAAATTTTTGTTCATGGAATTCCCAAGTTTGTCCGCCCGAATCAAACCACTCAAATATGTTCAACATTTCTGTTTATTATTCATTATACGAGGTTTCGGTCCCAACGGTTACCTTCTTCAAGTACAATTGAGATTTTCTAGCAATATACTTTGTTTATCTGTCATCCGGATGACGATTCTTTAGTTTTTTCCTTAATTTTCAGATTCCGATATTTCCCATATTTCGATATGCATCTGGCGGCCGCAGAATAAATCAAAAAACAAAAGTTTACGATAAAGATATTCCCTAAAATGATTTGGGATCTTGTTAATAGATGTTTGAAGACTAATCTAAGAACTTTGGCAACATTAAAATTTTTGTTTTTATCATATTGTTTTTCGGGATTGAAAATGGCAAATTTTGCACTTTTTCAAACATCAAATCGCTTATATTTCGAAAACTGACTTTATTAAAAGTTCATAAGAACCCTTCGTTCAGAATGTTTCAAGAAACCAAAAAACTCTATCGAGAGATGAAAAACAATTTTTGGGATTTGTTCAAACAATTTGACGCAATTTTGGGCATGATAATATGCAGATTCGTTAAAAGAGGTTTTTAATAGGAATATGCAAAAATACGAATGAAAATTTTTTCCCCAACAAATACGTTACTGCCTGGACTAATTTAGCGTTTTGAAGAAAAATAAATTACCTTATCAGAGTGAAGTACACAAGGCCAAATTTCTTTATTTATTTTTTTATACAAGATGATCTAAATGGCACAGGTAGTTTTGTAAAGACTGTAAGTGGTGAATATCTAACATTTTAATGTCATTATATGGTATAATGTTCGACAAACAATACATCGGCAGTTAATAATTTATCGTTTTGTCTATGGGGTGTTACATGTAAAATTATTGGAGTGTTCTTTATCACATTGATTCCTAAACCTCGGTACGCCACTGATGCAGGTTTATCCCCTTTATAAGCCCCACTACAACATATGGGCTATTTTGAGTTCGATACACTTTTGGATTTCTTATTTTCCTGCATACGTTGGAATAAATTGCTTTTTAGATTAATAGGGGAATTAACAGCAACGAAAAATATGCGTACGGAGAAAAGCTAAAAATTGAGGGATTTAATTTTTTCGTGCGTATAAAATGCTGTATAGCAATTTGTCGATAATATTCACCTGATAGAACAAAAGAACGGTGAAACTGCTATTGGCTTGGATGAAAATGCGAATTGGTTTTGAACTAATAGATGTTAGAACGTGATTCAGTCAAAGCTACATGTGAGTAATTTCAGCCATGAAATAGTGAAATAGTGGAAAAAAATTCGATCAACTGACCAAACTGTAAAATCTGCTTTGAACTATCAAAAGAATAATGATGAAATTCCTGAGTGTAGTATATCGGTCCTTAAATAATATAAGTCTTTGTTTAGATTATTCAAGTTGAGCAAGTTTATATATTTCTAGCCTGTTGGTCTCCCATAGTTCATTTACTTGCGTTCTGATAAGATTTTGACGTTGCCATGATGATTGATCATTGCTATTATTTAGCAATAAAACATTCAACTTGCAATGTGGGATTTTGTATTGAGCAAAATGTTGTTTTGCTGAATTTTACCAAATAATGGGATGTTTTAACTGCTCGTTTATTTGAACCTAACAATGCTATTATACTAAATATACTGGTTTGGTCAGCACAACCAAAGACCGCCATCAAGGTCTAGGCTTGGTCAATCGTCTCTGGACAACGAACGAAATCATAGCAACTATCCTTCATCCATGAGGTATGGTTAATCGAAATAAGACAGCGCCATGTTTTGCCAGAATCGACCAATGCGAACATGCGAACAGTGTATAACAACTACCGGTTGGAACTATGAAGATTCCCAGCCCGCAATGGTAGCGCAGCCACGTGTTACTTTGTGTAATACAAGTATTGTGTAAAAATAAGCCTTGTGCTTGCTATATATTGCTTTACCGGGTAATTTAAAGTCTACTCACACCATTGGGATCTCGGATGCGGTATATAAGTATACTGAATGAATGGGAGCAAAGTTACTAAAAATGGCACAGGTAGTTTTGTAATTCCGAGTATTTTCGGAAATACATGAAACAAACAGAATTTTCCCAAAATCGTTTTTACGGCTTTATATTTGACTGGGATTTCGAAAACAAAAGTACGCTAACATTGTCACTTAATACGATATTTCGTCTCTAGTTCTCAATCATCAACTTTACTTTTTCTTATAGATGTCACAGTTGAGTAGAGTTTTTAACTGTGACTCCAAAATTGTAGGCATGCATTGACATTCTCAAACATAAGTTATTTCTAAAAAACTAATATTGTTATAGTTGGCTTTGAAAATGACAGTTTATCACAATTTCTGAGAAGCGTGTTTAAATGACATTCACATAATGTGCCCGTTTATCGACTCTAGCAAGCGTTATTTTAGCACTGTGGAGGCGATCTACGTGACATGTCGGTCGTAGATTAGTAGACAGTACATGGTTGTAAGATATGTGCATCGGTTTAGATATGAGCGATATGAAATATGTTTAGGAAGCTACAGCATGGTCGAAGTTTTTAGTTACTGCAAAATGTTTCTATCAGTTTTTACATAAAGTAATACTCTTTTCAATGTTTTCATTACCAGTCTTAAATAATATGGAAAGTTTAGAATTACGTTGTTCTATTCGATGAGATAAGAGCTACTTTACGAATATTACTTTTTTAGATATTTGAAGTTTTATGATAACAATCCATGTCATGACATGTCATCACACACACCACATCATTAAAATTTTAAATTGGGCTTTTTATCTATGCCTAGTCCATAAAAACTTTAAGGAATGTTTGACTGAAGATATTATGACTTAAATGTATGACATATTTATACATTTCGGGAATCAGCGTTAAAAACTCTATTCAACTGTGCGAATATCCAATATGGCGTCCATACGAAAAAATAAAGTAATGATTGAGGACAAGATGCGAAACGTCATATTGAAATTTTAATTGTGCCACTTTGTAAAGGAGAAAAGTGTCAATGTTAATGAACTCTTTATTTTGAAATCTCGTATCAAATGAAGTCAGGAAAAGATTTTGATTCGGTTTCTTTCGTCTACCTTCGGAAATACTGGAAATTACGGAACCTTTGGCATTTGCAAGTGCCCTTTTTTCAGTTACCAACATGCGCAACTTTGGTAAAATTTAACCGGCTGCGTATTTCTCACCGTTTCGAGATCTGAATGGTGAGAGTCGAATTTGAAACACCCGGTATATCATAAGTAGTCGCTAATTTCCTGGAAAGAGCGTATCCTCCAAGATCAACATACATAAATATACGGTATGTTACAAAGGGCATTATCTAGCTTGAGCATCATAGGGAGAGCAAATGTCAGAACAGGCTTCGTGTTACCAGGTGCGTAGCTAAATTTTCCCTCAAATGGTAATGTGAGTATTGCGATCATCAAGATTTTTAAATTTCAAGTACGAAGCTTTGCCGTATGCTTAGGCTATATCTATGTTGGTGATAGATGCTAAAGATTCCGCACTAGACATTTTCGGAGTCCTCCTTTACTAATATCGCATCCATGATTTCATGACGTTTATTGTGTATTCAAAATAAATTCAGTTAGATAGTGAAAATAAAAATTCTTCTGATTGCTTAGTTTGGAGTTATGTATCAAGGAACAATATGGAATCGATATGGGTGAGCCGATATTATTCCAATCTTACAAGCGAGAAAAAATGAGTGAAGCCCATTTTAGGGTATATTTAAAATTTTGTCCTACCTAACGTAGCTCTTGAACCCGCCAGTGACTCTCAAATTTTCAAATATAATCGTTCCCCTCATCCGGATTGATCCGGAAACCAATTCCAATTCAGGAAGCGGAATATAAGAAACGGGGGAGGGGGGCACAGCCGAAAATTGCCCGTGTATGTCGTGAAACGAGAAAATAACTAATAACCCCGTCAGCCAATCAAATCGCTCGATCTGGCGGGATTCGATTATGGCAGGTGAGGGGACCAAACGCCGAAGAACACCGGGGGGTCTTGTGGCTCCATGGGGTCTCCATGGTCGAAGCTGCACATGTAATTTGGGCTTGATCGAAAAATAAAATGAGGGATGGCTTCATTTCCAATAAGTATAGCTGCGTGAAATTATAGTAAAGTGCAAAATTAATATTACAATAGCATTTAGGTGGAAGCCGTTATGATTTATGTCTAGATCAGCGAGGCAATGAATAGAGGCTAAAGCGGCATTTACATTTACGAGTACTCGGATCCGAGCAACGATAACACTACGAGTAGAATTGTGAATGTTTAGATTTGTATGAGCAGCTCGTATAGTTTGGAAATTTTAAAAATGGCTCCCTCCAAGAATAAACGAGCTGCTGTCGCGTTAATATTATTAAATATTCTAAAAAAAAAAGAAGAGAAAAGAAAAAGTTTACACAGAATAGAAGCATCTGGGTGAAACCACATTTACAAGAGCGTCACAGAGTGGGTATTGAGCAAACTTTGCTCACTGATTTACTAGCGCAAGACGGAAACGATTTTAAAAACTTTATGCGCATAGGATTATGACACGTTTATGATGTTACATGACAAGGTAAGTTTAGTACTTTGGTATAAAATAGCTTTCAATGATTATTTTAAAACTAATTTTAAGGTTCGTTTAGACATCGAAAAAACAAGATACTTACCTGCGAAGTTCTATAAGTTCTGAGTTACGTCTTGCAATAACATTAAGATTCCTTGCAACTGGAGATAGCTACAGGTCCTTAGAATAATACTTATAACAAGAGTATCAGCTTCTACAATTAGTTTACTTGTCCCTCATGTATGTCAAGCTGTCTACTCACACTTGCAGCCAGAATATTATGAAGGAATGTACAAAATTAAATTCTTATAATAATATTTAAAAACTTTTTTTGTTAGTAGTAATTTTATTAAGGTTTCTACAAAAATATTAAATATCTGTGTCTTCACTAGACTGGTCAATAATCTGAGCACCACTTATTGCTAGAAAAATGGTATTTGAATCATTAGTTCTTTTATTTATGTTAGAACATTCACTGTATGATTCTGAGTGATAAGAATTAACAGAAGATGGTGTGGGAATATTATAGTCATCTGGGGAAAATGGAGATGTCATACATGCAGTTAATCCTGGGTTGCAAGTATTTATCGAAACTGGCGAAGTTTTATGGCGGTTAATTACTCGTAATCTGGTTTGCGTTATAAGTTGCTGAATTTCTAATTGCAGTGTTACTGCATCTTCCAAAGGAAATTGTTTTAGCTGCGCTGCTATTCTCTCCCCAAACTTGTCAAATTCTGTTGATTCCTCCTTACATATCGCGCTCAAACTACTCACGGCATCTTCAAAACCTCTTTCAGAATCTGTTTCCTGTCTACGAACTTTTTTGTTGCGAGGAGGATTAGTACTGCGTGACGTTCCTTGTGTAATAGGTGTAATAGTATTATCACATTCTTTATTTGTTGATTTTTTGACCTGCAAGTTAAAAAAGAATATTTTTTAGGTACCTTGCACTGAAGATGACTGGAAAAAAATTGCCGACGAATTTAGAAACAAATGGAACTTTCCCAACGCTATTGGTGCTATAGACGGAAAACATATTGAAATAGAAGCTCCCCCAAACGCAGGATCTTATTACTTTAATTATAAAGCCACACATAGTATCGTCCTTTTAGCTCTGGCAGATGCAGAATGTAATTTTTTATATATAGATGTTGGGTGCAATGGACGCATGTCGGATGGAGGTATATTCAAAAATTCTACCTTATATAGAGAACTATATGAAGATCTGTTAAATATACCATCTGATGAGCACCTTCCAAATCGCGTCAAACCCGTACCTTATGTTATTTTAGGAGACGACGCGTTTGCTCTTTCAAAAAATTTGCTAAAACCGTTTCCTAGGAGCAAGTTTCTTAGTGCAAAACAAAAAGTTTTCAATTATCGACTTTGTCGTGCTCGTCGAGTAGTGGAAAACGCATTCGGAATCTTAGCATCACGCTTTCGCGTATTTAGGAAACCAATTTGTTTAAAAGTCGAAAATATTGACAAAATTGTCTTATGTGCATGTGTCTTGCATAATTTTTAAAAAAACATAAAATTACTGCAATCAATACTGAAAATGAGGATATTAGGTCAATAATGAAGAGTAGGTATACCCCATCAAGAAAGTAACAATACAAGTGACGTAGCACGCTCCGTTCGCGATGAATTTGCAGAGTATTTTTATAATGAGGGACAGACTGATTTTCAGTGGAAATACATTTAGGAATATGTTAACTTTATATAGAATGTTATTCCATTTTCACTAATATACTACTGAAAATTCAAAGAATCTGTTGTTTTAATACTTACATATTGTTTTGTAGTTGGAGTACACACTGTTTTCCTTGATGTTGTAACGTCATCCAAAAAGTCCATACTACTAAACCAAAATAAGCTTGGAATATAAATATCCTCTGCGCCCGACCCTATAAACAAAATATCTTTTTAATATACAGTGATATAATATATATATATATATATATATACAATGATATAAACATAGCCTATGTTTAAAACCTTTAAATTAATCAAAATCACTGAACTACAATATTATTTTTACATACCTGTACTTTTTGATAACTCAACTTTTTTCTTTTCCTGCAAATACGTCGATCGAATGTTGTTTATTTTCTTCTTCACGTTTTCTATTGAAATATTCATAATATCGGCAATAGATTCATACGCGTTGTTCCTTTTGTTGATGTCTCTATAATCTGTACATTTAATGTTCCATAAACACTCAAATGATCTATAAAGATCAATAAATTGTTCCATTTGCTCGCTGGAAAACTTTAGTTCCGCCATTTTATATTATCGAGAAACAGGTGCTCTCGTACAACAAGTCGGATTGTATTCTACTTCGATCCGGGCTCGGATCGAAGTCGCTACGAGCTCCGAGTAACCGTTTACATTTCCGAAATTTAGTCCGAGAAGCGAAACTCGAATCCGAGTACTCGTAAATGTAAATGCCGCTTAACTATGCATTATTCAGTATTCGGTCGAATACATGAAGCGGTAGAACCAACTAAGTAGTTTTAAATAAGGCATTTGGACCTTTAAAAAAATGTTGTCGATTTCGGAGTGACCAGTTCATACCATTTTACTCGTACATTTAATAAGTTTCGAAAACGTTTCGTTTCAATGTGATGCTTGGACGGTCATTAGATTTGAGCAATTATTTATTTGGGGATATCTAAGTGACGTTATATGTGTAAACGAGCTATTCGGATCTCCAGGAGTAGTCTCCAACATTTTGCTAACGGCCGCTATCTTAAAGACATTATTTTCAAAACCCAATGAATGTAAAATGATATAAACTGAATAATGCGAAATGAAAAACATTTTTTATATATAGATCCAGATGCTCTTTCTAGCTCTTTGAAACTGATTTGTTAGTTCTGCTGCACCCTGCATTAAGAGGAGATTTTGAATGCGTCGTGTGAGATCAGCATCAACACTTCATAGTACCTACCCCTGGTAACTATAAAATTAGCATTAAAAATTGATAATTTGTAATTAGTACAAATAATCATGGTAAAAGTTAACTCAAACATTTTTTTTAAGTTGCAAAATAGTAAATTTATTAACAATTAGGAGCAAAAATATTTACAATTGTCACATTGTCTCATTGCCAAGTAAAGAGTCAAAATGTGTCCTGTTATCGATAAAATCCACAAAAATACCAGATAAACAGATTGACAATTTCAATTATCATTTAGTGTAAAATTACAACCTTAGATTATGTGATTTTTTTTTATTCAAGTACGTCCACGAGTATACGCACCCAGCCTGAGTAGTTCTATTTGACACATCATAGATTTCTCCGGATATTTGCCTTTAAAGACAGGAATGCTTCCGATACGCGCTGCTGCTGCTGCTGTGTGGGACGACCGGTAAGTAGTGGGTAACTGGTAACTGTTCTGGCCTGACTGCCGCCACTGACGCATTGTGCCGTCAGGTATCCGGGAAAAGCGACGCTGCCAGATCGACTACCGGTAAGGCAGGTAAAAAAAGAATGTCTATGGACTAATTGTGTGGGCCCGATTGACTGACTTGAGCCGTTAGATTTCTCTGTTATACATGTTCGTAACTGACTTTCTTTTCTTGTGTTGAACACAAATCCTTTATGACTTGATGAACGCATTGCGTGGGAAGTGCAAAGTCAACCTGCTTGACGTAACTTTGACCATGCAAGTCACTATTAATATCATACAACAGGAGAATTATATAAGGCCCCGACTGTATAATGCTCACGGTAGCATACGGTATCATATTTAAGCATCCTTCATTTCTTGTACTGATCGCCCACTATTCCTGAATAGCTCCAACCTTAATTCTCTAATTTGGGCTGATCAAATCCTGGGCGGGGAAGAAACACTGAATCAGTCGTTAGTTAATAGGCAATAAATCCGGATGTTGTGTATGCAAAATGTAGCGTGTGCCTTATGCAGTGGCTACCACTACCGCCGTAATATCGATAATGCTGGGCCATAACGTCCAATCAGCCTGGATTTATGCCTTGGCTGGGCAGTAAACCTCGCAGCAGGCGGTCACTAGATTATCAGTGCTTCCCTCCCCATGGAGTCCGAGCCAAGAGCCGGAGTCAACCGGAAGACATTCTTTGTCATATGGCGATAAGCCAAAGACAGTAAGCTTTCAATATTTTCGGGTCAGATCAGGACTAAAAGGAGTGTTAATAAGGCTCTGTTTTCGGCCTGAATTTAATCTAAATTAGTTCCAGTAGTATCTACTAATAAAATTAAGTCGATTCCATCCTAAACGGACCACCCCAACCCTGCTAGTGTCCTCCAGTGACCCCTTAAAATAGTAAGGAGATACCGTCACCTAATAATAGCACTTTTGGAAAACATTCGGTGCTGGAAGACTGATATTTTTTTAATAGCGTACTACGTCTAATTTCACTCTTATTTATCATTGTTTGCCTTTTTACCCACTTTGAGATGAGTGCAAGTAGTATAAAGGGAAATGGTGAATTTACTACACAGGCCCACAAAAAGCATGTGACATATGATTTCGAATCCGGGGTCAGTTTCCCCTTCTTGAGTCTTCAGAACATTGCCGAAAAACCTTCAGAAAAATGAACTGTGATTGGCTATGCACATGCTCCAATCACTCTGAAAGTGTCTTCAGTTTTACGAAGGTTCTTAGCAATTTTCTGATGAATGAAGGAAGGTGGACCAAAGCTGATCACGAATTCGTGTTCAGAAGACCAAAATGAATCGGAAATCATATGTCACATGAAAATATCCGTTCTTTGTGAGTCTATGTAGTAAATCCACCCCTTGCCTTTCAACCCCACGCAACTTTCTCAAAGTGGATAAAGAGGTTAAAAGTGATAAATAAGCGTGAAAATATTAGATTGCCAGTGACGAATATTTCAAAAATGATATTATTTGGCGTCACCTTATTTTTCACTATTTTTAGGAGCAGTTGAGAGACACTAAGAGAGGCGGGAGTTGTCCTTTTTGGGTGGAATTGGCGCAGTTTCTTTAGTTAATACTTCAGGAACTGATTTTGAGCATCCAAATTACATTTGCGCCCTCCTTTACTGCAAATACTAGAAATATTCTATAAAAGCGATAATAGGCTAGAGAAACATATCATAACATAGTGTAGAAAACTCATATTGGAGAAGATGAAAATACATTAGTTTGTCATGTTTCTGTCCATTAAATGTAAACACATGTTGAGTACCTATTTAATAACGTTTCGACCACATCGGTGGCCTGCTTTTTCAAACTACAGATCACAAAATGTCAATATCACTTTTTTAATCTGCACCAGGGACGTGTAGGTTATATACAAGGACTGCTTTGAGTGACATCTGATGATTGCACCAAACACTAATATCTATAATTAAACCTCAACATCCTAGATGGCGCAGCTTGTCTTATTTTTCAAATACTCGTTAAAAGAATTGTCAAAGACGAAGTGCCAGCGAGATACCGATACGGCCACGGTGTCAAAGTGTGCTGGAGGCAAAGGCCATGCAACTGACACGATAGAAAGAGACCAGAATCGCCGGACACCCTAGAAGTTGTCTGCAAGGACCTGAAAGGGGAGCATTCGGGCTTGTTGATAGAATACCAGCCCCAAGGACTCAACTAATGGGACGAGACAATACTATATACTGGGAAGCTTACCACCGAAATTTTAACCCCAAAATAAGTAGAAAATAAGAACAGGAAAAGAGGAGGTGGATGTAGCCTCGCTCCGAGTTTATAGGTTATATTTTTTATCCGATCAACATTGCTCACAATTCATTATACATTATTTTGATTGCCCATAGCATTTAAAGTAGTCCGCCAAGAATGCTATAGACTAAACGAGACTACGTTTGTGTACTGGTGAACTCGCCATCCTTATAAATATTTTGTATTTTTTTTAAAGCGCCAAAGTGTGGTGTAGTTTTAATAAACAAGTAGGTATAGTTTGTCTTGCTGTAGGTTGGTTTAATAATGGCGTCAAGGATGTTGATTTTATATTTCAAATGTAACTGAATTAAATATCTTCGTGTTAATCTATTTTATGATGCATTTGGAAATATTGCAAACTATGGAATTGAATTTTATTCAAAATGTTTGAGAATCAACATACTAACAGAAAATATAGGTACCTACCTATCAATAGACTTGACGTCATGTATTTACTTACATGATTATATATGTATGTTGTATGTTATTTCACAGAGTAAAAGTGGATGAAAACTTGGAAACTGTATGTTTTAATGCCTAATTCTTAAAACGAAAACATATTTTTCGAGTTAGAATTATTAACAACACCTTGTATACATTTGTTTATAAATAAAATGCAACTTGAGGATAACAGATGTCACTGATCGGAATCCTGTAAACATTCGTCGATTTATGTAGTTTCGTTTGGTATGGGTTAGTATTCGGCGCAATCATCAGATGGCGCTTAACAGTGGTACCACAAAACGTGTTATCTGTAGTGTTGCTAATTATCTGTGATCTGCACTTTAAAAATGAATGAAAATACTACCACAACTTAGTCAACAATCAGCTATGAAACTCTCCTGTCACTGACAAATACGGCCACCATTTCGGCGGAGAAAGTCGAATGTAAATTCCCCCAGTACAACGATGAAAGAGGTTTTAGTGCTCAGCAGCAGCCAGTGTTGCCACGTACCCTGCCAGCGGCCGCATATATTATTTGCAATCGTAAAAAATTACTATTCCGATATGATCTGGTATAGTTTGTGTAAACCAACATGTAATAAAAAGGAATATGTTTGTCCAAAAAGAAGCGACTATTTATGTACGAAAAAGTTTTGAAATAAATTCGTATTGGTGGAAGTATTTACAATGAACAGAAAAATATTTACCTTTGGCATGCATTCTTTGCTGCTGTGACGTTACACTGCTAAAACACAGCAACGACTGACGACTCCTCAGCTAGGCTGCTTCTACATACAAGGCGAGTTTTTAATGTGTAAGCGGTCGGTAGTTCCGATATTTTAAATACCTAGAATAGTTAGTTATAAAAATTGTAGGCAATACGTTCCTTACTTCGAAAATATGCCGCTCTCCACAAGGTGATTAATATTTACATGACAAACAACAACAAAAAACATTAGTGCAAAATGGTTTAGTTTTACTAATGAACAATGTTTTTTATATCTCTCATTTAAATGTTTACGTGCTTTCGTTTTTTTCTTCGCGATAAAGACCCGAAATCCTTGTGATTGATTGAAGATTGTATTTGTCTGGTGTTTTTAGCACTGCTCATATTGAAAATGAAATAGATTGATTATACCGCAGCAGCGTAGAATACATAACAAAAGTAGATATGTTTCCGTTTATTGTAAGTACTTCCACCATTACAAATTTATTTTGAACCATTTTCATAAATAAGTAGTACATCCGTCGGTTCTTTTTGGACAAATATACTCCTTTTTATTA